ACAGGAGCGGTGTCTGAGACGAAGTAGAGGAAAAGATCAGCATGGGTGAGAAGGTCACGCTGTTAGATCATTATCCATGTAAATACTGCCATTAAAAATGATGCCAGAAGTGTGGTAGTTGAGAAGACAGTGAGCACTGTCACTGTGATGGGAGAGTGTATATGACAGCTTCAGGAAGAGAGTGATACTGTGAGCTTCTGAGTGGTTTTTTGTTGTTGTTGTTGTTTTCTTTGAAGGGACAACAAAGAAGAAATAGGGTAGAACTGGCAATGGGAAGCAAGGAGGGTGGGTGTGTATGCTATCCACAGGTCTGGGCTATGGCAAAATAAACAGCTTCTGCTTGAAAGGGCAATGGGGAGTATTGCTTCTGGAAGACATTGCCAGGCTTTAGTTAGGGCAGGAAGATGGGGGAACACTGAAAGAAGTTGAGAATGAATATAAAGAGGAGTTTGCCGATACATCTTTAGTCTAGACAACAGAGTGGAAGACTTTGAGAAGGTCAGGAAGAGTGGAAGATTGGGACAGATTAGGAGATACTGAGATTAGAATGGCGATGAGAGCCAGGGTGGTACGGTTACATCTTGGACTCTGTTGGTAATGGTTACAAAGAATGATGAGATTTATCCAGCCAACTTCACATGAACAAACAATACAAGGTAACCCTCCTGCTAGATACTCTTAACTGTAGAAGACCATTCTTGGAGCTAGAAGTAGTAGGCAGAAAGTGGTGACCACTAGGTACAAAGTGATGACCCCTTGAACTCCAAGGAATACCTAGCACTCCTGCTGCACAGTTGTGCAAATATCTTCACAATGAAGGATTTTTGTACAGCACAATTGTTTCAGGGCTCAGAAAATGGACCTTTAAGGTTTGTTATTGAATATCTTAGACTTCTCCTTCCTCTGCAGTGGTTCTCAACAGGGGCTATATCATTCTCCCATCCTGGAGACATTCTGGAAATTTGTGGGGATGCTTTGGATTGTCAGTTACTAGGAAAGCTCTTGACATTTATTAAAAATAAGAGGTGCCTAGTAATGATGTAAACCCCACCATACAAAGCACAGTCCCACAAAATGACACTTTCGACTTTCCCAGAGAACGTTCCAGCAGATAAAACATTTACAAATTATCTGAGTCTAGGATCTAATTTCATTTTACATGTGAAGATTTTTTGTTTGTTTTTAATATACATTAAATTTTCCAGAAAAGCAGCTGGTGTATAAAGTAAGAGGATGTTGTACTTTTTTTGTTCAGAACTTTTGCAGTTCTTATTTGAAAGTCACTTCCTTGGCATCACTATTTATGGTATTTGAGTCAATAGCATATACCTGTATAAAGTGTGATTTATTTATTTATTTTTACCTGTTATATTCAAAAGTCTTATCCTGTCACAGCTCAAAGTCCAGAATCTCTTCTAAGTTAGATTCAGGTACACTTGGGACTTCCTGGACATTCCTTAAGTAGAGCTTCTCAAGTACAATTCCTGCTGACCTATAAAGCCAACGTGATACCTGGTCCTCATCCTCCCTCCAGACACTTGCCCAGTATACACTATTGAGTCAGGCTTAAGAAAACCTCTATAAAACACTCCTATCAAAGGTGGGGGCTAAGAGATAGTAGGCACAAGGAAATCCCTGGTCTGTAACAGCTCTGAAATCCAATCAGGCAATCCTTGATTGGCTTTCAATTCCTAGGTATAATTCACCCCTGGCTCTCAGCTTTGCCCTTTGGGCATGTGGTTCTCCTGAGTCACCCTTCTCCGTGAAAGGTAGTACATGTTTGCAACTGACTACTTTTCTTACCTTGCTTCTTACCAATATTTGGGGCCTCTGAAGGCTTCATTTTCTGTTTCTCTCTCACTTCAAGCTGGCAATGTTTCGCCATATGTAATTCTTTTTAAAAACTTTGTGCGTCTTTTGTGAATCATTTTGGGGTCAGTCTATTAGTTGAAAATCATATGCACAAATTTATTTGAGTATGCCCTTTACTACCTTAAGCTAATGAAAGACAACACCCTTCACCTTGCAAAAGCTTTATCATCTAACTGAGAAGACACTGTGAAGTGCATAATTCTAAGAGGCCTTTTGTCTGACAAAGTAGTATTCTGAGGTACCATCTTTGGTATTTCTGAGATCTTAACAGAGGATTTTATAGTTACTCCTGTGGCTTAGTTTTTGGATCATGTTTTTCTGGCAGTGCCCTGGATTTGATCTTGGCTCAGAATCCATTTCTGAAGTTTAGCATTGTTTGCAATCTGAAGAGACTGCAAATTTTCAAAACCATCCAGTCCTTGCTCTTCTTTAAGAGGTCTTGATTTAATTTATGTCTTCTCATTTTTTGCTGTATATAGCAGAAAAAGGGAGACAGCACTTTCTAGTTGAAACTCTCTTTAGCTAAATCACCCAGTTCATTACAGAAAATGTCCAGGTGCTGGTGATGGTGGTGGTGGTGGTGGTGGTTGAGACAGAGTCTCACTGTGTCTCCCAGGATGGAGTTCAGTGGCAGGATCTCAGCTCACTGCAACCTCCACCTCCTGGGTTCAAGTGATTCTCCTGCCTCAGCCTCCTGGGTAGCAGGGACTACAGGCGCACACCACCAGGCCCAGCTAATTTTCTTTTGTATTTTAGTAGAAACGGGGTTTCACCGTGTTGCCCAGGCTGGCCGCCTTGGCCTCCCAAAGTGCTGGGATTACAGGCGTGAAACACCGTGCTTTGCCAAAATTTCGTGGGGTTTGTTGGTTTGTTTGAGGCGGAGTCTCATTCTGTCACCCAGGCTGGAGTGCAGTGGTGCAATCTCAGCTCACTGCAACCTCCGCTTCCCAGGTTTAAGCAATTCTCCTGTCTCAGCCTCCTGAGTAGCTGGGATTACAGGCATGTGCCATCACACCCGGCTAAATTTTTTTGTGTTTTTAGTAGAGCTGGGGTTTTACCATGTTGGTCAGGCTGATCTTGAACTCTTGATCATGATCTGCCCACCTCAGCCTCCCAAAGTGCTGGGATTACAGGTGTGAGCCAACCATGCCCAGCTAAAGTTTTCAGTTTTTATATGATCAGAGGTCACAGTGTTACTAAGCCTCCTGCCCCTTCCTAACAAACATACCTCCTCTTCTGGTGTCCAATAACGTCTACCTACTCTTCTGTTCTCCTTGTAGCCTTATGAAATCCACGAGACTTTTTAAAACAGCTTCTTACCTGATACCATCCTTAAAAGCCACGGTCTGTTTCCAAAGCCAATCCAACATTTCAGTGTTTTATTATAGCAGTGGGGATTGTCAGTATCATCATGTGTTACTTGTCTATTACTATGTAACTAATTACCCAAAATGTATCAGTTTAATTTTATGTTTTTATTTTATTTTTTTTAAAGACGCAGTTTCACCATGTTGGTCAGGCTGGTCTTGAACTCCGCCCGCCTTGGCCTCCAAAGTGCTTAGATTACAGGTGTGAGCCACCACGCCCGGCCAAATGTATCAGTTTAAAACAATTATTTTGTAATCTCAAGTTTATGAGGATCAGGAATCCAAAGGCAATATCTGTTGGGTGGATCTGCATAAAAGCTGTTTAGGGTTGCAGTCAGCTGCAGCCCTGCTTCCAGGCTTGCTTACATTGTTGACTTGAGGCTTCTGTCCGCCATCCTGCAGTTCTCTCTACTACCTGTGTGTCTTCACAACATGACATCTGGCTTCCCACAAAACACATGATTCAAGAGTATGTACCAACTTAAGAGTGCATGCAAGTCTTTTATCACATACCATCACTTCTACCATGTGCTGTTGGTCACACAGACCAACCCTGTTCACTGTGGGAGGGGACTACCCAAGGGTATGAATGAGCAGCACCAAGACACAGGGATCATTGGGCACCATCCTGCAGGCTGGCTACCACAAGTCTGTGCTCAGTGAACTGAACTATACTGTACTTAATGCTCTCTCAGTGGGCCATGCTGTCTCTCACTTCTTCCTTTACTTACATTGCCCTTTACCCCAGATGGTTTTCCTTTTCCTCTATCCATTCAACCAACCTGTTTGCTGTCAACTTTTATGAAGCCTTTCCAAGCCCTGTCATAGCACTTTTGGAAAACAGATTCACTTATGATTGTTTCCTTTGCAACAAACCCTCTGAAAGCAAAAACTGTTGTATCTTAAAGGCTTAATATTGTACTGGCACAAATGTTTCTTAAATTAGTGTTTGAAAAGTTCTGGAAAAATCCAGGTAGTCAATGATAACTTTGTATTGTAAAATGATAATCAGGTACCTGTTTTGTGTTTTCCAGCCTTTGAGCATTTTGAGTGAGACTAATAAAGTAAGATTTAACCTGTGGTTTATGGGAAGGACATGAGACATTTTTAATAAACCAAAATTTTAACCCAGAAAAAATGTTATGGCCTTTCCCAAAGTGTGTTTTGTGAAATGTTGTGCTTAGACTACTTGTATATCGTGTTGACTTATGAGATGACTTACTCATCAAATGCTTGTAAACTTACATTTACAAAGTATAATGCTAAATACTGTGGAATTTACAGACACGTCTTATCTTGAAGGGGCTTATAATTCACCTAGTAAATAAAACAATCTGAGGTAATCTTTCTTAGGTCCCAATTGTAAATATCAGAAATACTTATTTTTACTTTGGATAGTTTATATGTTATCTCTCTCTAAGTCTCATAAAACCATGTAAACCAACTTATAATACTAAGTTCCGGAGAAGTCATCTATTTTTTGTTTTCATTTGAAGTAAATATAAGTACAATAGAAAACATAAAATCAAAACCAGTTATTTTACTCTAAACTTTAGTACATTAAAATTTCTTCTCTCTGATCTGAAAGTTTCAAAAATGAAGATTTTAGTTGCAGTTACCATATTACCTGCCTTAAATTTTCCTTTTCTTTCTTTTCTCTTTTTGAAATGGAGTTTTGCTCTTTCTGCCCAGGCTGGAGTGCAGTGGTGCGATCTTGGCTCACTGCAACCTCCGCTTCCGGGGTTCAAGCGATTCTCCTGCCTCAACCTCCTGAGTAGCTGGAATTACAGGCGGCCATCACCACACCCAGCTAATTAAAATTTCCTTTTCATTTACCATAATGTAATCTTGAAACTACATATGAGAATTCTGTATGGATTTTTTCCCTTTGTGAATGTTTCTTTGTAATGCAATTTAAGTAAAAGAAAATAGCAATCTTTTTTTTTCTGTATACCCTGAAATGCACAGAAATAATAAATAATATACCTTGATTTGTTTGTCTTGTAATTTTCTATACACTATTTTAAAAACATTGTTTTATTTCATCCTACATTTGAACTTTTACACTGTGATTTTGTACAATATACATGAGATCAGACATTCTAACTTTTGTAGTGATGAAACATTTTGTTCTGCTTTTTTGGAGACAGGACAGAAAAAAAATGCTTATGATTAACATTTTTTTCCGGCCTTTATATTTTTATGACTGGGTTTTTTTTTTCCCCCATAAAATTTTTCAGTTGAACCTTATTTCTTGTTCATATCTAAAACTCTTTATTTCTCAAGGATGCGTAATACTTTGCATCACTAGCAAGAAACCAATTAATACTTACAATAATGTTCCTTTATTTAGGGGCCTAACTACCTTAAATCCCTTCTAGAATCTTACATTTGAATAAAATCTGCAATTTCTAAGATTTGAATCCAGAATTTTTTGCTAAGCAGCCTGCCTTATCAATTGGTAAATAATAGAATATAATCCAGTGAGTTTGACTACCAAATAAAATGGCATGAAACAAGATGATCACCCATACCTATTACTGGGGCTGTTGGAGAGGCATACTTGTGATATAAATGCTATTTTTTGTTTGCCGCCCTTCCACTCAGCTTAATGTGTTCAGATTGACTGTGAATCCAGTGGAAAGATTAGAGAACTAGGCTGAAGCTGTAGACAGGCTAACAAGAGTTTAAAATATCCTGAGTAAAAATTCCAGTGTAATGACGTTTAAATAAGTTCCAAATATTTCAGATGTTATTGTCTCCTTTGCCACTTTCCTAATTCAAGGTACTGTCATCTCTTGCCTAAATTTAAGTAGCTTCCTCACCGGTACTCCCAAGACTGCAATTGCTGCCTCCCAGTATTAACACAACCAGTGGCCCTTTGAAAAAGGAAATCTCATTGTGTCACTCTTGCTAAAAACCTGTGAAGAGTTCTCATTGTTTTCAAAGTGGCATTATATACTAGGCTTTATGTAATCTGGCCCTTATGTCCCCCAGAGCCTTCAAATTCCCTTCAGCCACTGAATCATTTCTCATTTATTCTCATGCACTGAAACACCATTCCGCTTTGGGTTGGTTTAGTAATCTCCCACTGATCCTTCAGATCTCAGCTCAAGGTCACTTCCTTATGTATCCACTCATTATAACAGGACTGTCGTGGGCTCTCATAATATCATCTTTCGTAGCAATTACTGCTGTAAATTTCCATTTTATTTATGTAGTTATTTGGTTATAGTCTCACCACGTGACTCTAAGCTCCAGGTACCTCTAGCATTGGAGCTTAATGTCTCTGTAATTTTTTAATAAGTGACTGGATTGGCTTATTGTTAATTTATTCATATGTTTCTAGTTTAGTCTATCCCAGAGCTGTGTCTGGAGATTAGGGACATAACTCTTATTGTAATTTATCATTACATGAGGGTAAAGATGGTTCCAGCAGAATCTACCACGTGGTTACTCTGTGATTAGACAGATGGCTTAACTGCTAGTTCTCGTTTTTATCATTTATAGAGAAAACTTGAAATACATGATCTATATGCTTACCTCTTACTTGAATGTTCAATTGAGTTTAAGGGTTTCCCTCCATTTGTTAGGATAAGTATGGTTGGGCTATAAACATAACAATCTCAAAATCTTAGTGGCTTCGCAACAAAGTTCTATTTTTACCATTGCGCTATCCACCGGGTTGATTGGGGGGTTCTGTTCTATGTGGCCTCACTCCACGATGCAGACTGGCAGAGCAGCCTTTATCCTAAACATTGTGTACACTGCAGTGGGGGAAAGAGAAGAACTCATGTATTTCTTTGCATCTGCTGCTAAGATGCGTTGGCCAGAAGTTAAAAACCACTTTTGCTCACAGCTCATTGGCCAGAACAAGAAACATAGCTGCATGTCATCATAAAGGAGCCAGAAGGTACAATCTTGTCATATGACCAAAAGGCAGAAACAACATTGTTAATAAGTAGGCCAAGGTTTGGCTTACCCTTGTCACAGAGAAAATACACTCCTCTTCCCCAGTGAAGCCAGCTCAGAAGTCCCAGGTAAGGACAGCATCAAAGTTAGAGTTTCCAGGTGATACACATAATTCCGTATACCAGATCTATGTGTGTTTCCTGTTGACCTGGGGAACTGTGAACGAAAATGTTACCTGAAACTACCTTCCCGCCGCACTCATGTGCATTGAAATAACAGGGACAGGATAACCCCAAAAAGCACTCCCATGTGGATAACAGAACTTTAGAGGAGCACTGCAGTCCCCATCCCACAGCCATTCAGAAATCCCCCCGCCAGCCCCATTTATCCTAGATATGGGGAGCGTGCTTGTTTCAGCACTAGGTCTCGGTGGCGGGGACTCCTCTCCCCAGGCCATTGTTTGTGTGTGTGTGTGGCTGTAGCCGTTGATACCTAGGAGATTCCTCCTTTTCCATCTCTTCCTTAGCCTCATCTGAAGTAATCATTGGAAAATATACCCTCGTTGGGAACTAAAAGGCTTGACAACCTGCTTCCAAAAGAAAGTTGGAGACTTAAGCATACTTTTAAATGAGGTTTTTAATTCAGGCTCTGGTTTGTTGTTTGTTGGCAGCACAACTATGCAAGCTTCTAATGTATTTACATTCAGCTCATGTGCCAGTGTTCTTTACCAGATGTCTGTCTTACAAACGCTGCTACCAGGAACCTGTTGGGCTCTGTGTGTGTGTGTATGTGTGTGTCTTTTTCTTTATCTCAGAGCATTTTATTCAACTGAGAGCATTTACTGGGTGTCACAATTTTAATTGGACCTCTGCTTTGAGACTCTTTAACCGATTCAGATGTTTTAATGGTGAATATGATACTCTTTGTCGCTCAAAGCCTTTGGTGGATTTTAAACTTAGGGCTTGGGGTTGAGAAATCTTCTCTCCCAACTGCACAAGCCTCACCATTTGGGAGCCATCTTCCTTTTATTCCTGATTATTAACTGTTGTCAGTTTTAAAATGTGTTTCTTTCTTGGAATACCAAACACAGAACAAGCAACATACCATTTTAGAGTTTTTAAAATTGACACACAGTAATCGTACATATGGTTATGTGCTGCATAGTGACGTTTCAGTCAACAACATTACATATATGACTCTGGTGTCCCCCAAAATTATAATGCCATATGCCTACTGTACCTTTTCCATGTTTAGATACGCTTAGATCCACAAATGCTTTTTTGTGTTATAATTGCGTACAGTAATCAGTACAGTAATATACTATAGAGGTTAGTGGCCTATAAGCTATACCATATAGCCTAGGAATGTAGTAAGCTACTATCTAAGTTTAAGTAAAAGCTATAGTATTTGCATGATAGAATCACCTAATGATGCATTTCTCAAAACAGATTCCCATTATTGAGCAATGCATGACTATATAGAGTAATGTTTCAGTATATGTGTACACTGTGTAATGACCAGATCATGGCAATTAACATAGCCATCACCTTAAGCATTTGTCATTTCTTTGTTGTGAGAACACTCACAATTGTTTCTTCTGGCTATTTTGAAACACATAATGTGCTGTTGTTAGTAATAGTCACTCTACTGTCCAATAGAGTACCAGAACTTACTCCTATCTAACTGTGAATTGTACCCCTTGACCAACTTCTCCTTGTTTCCCATCCCTCCTGTTATCCCCAGTTTCTGGTAAACCCTGTTCTTACCCTCAACTTCTGTGAGTTATTTTTTGTTTTGTTTTGTTTTGAGATTTCACGTATGAATGAGATCATGTGATATTTGTCTTTCTGTGTCTGGCTTATCACATTTAACATAATATCTCCTAGGCTTGTGTGTGTTGTAGCAAATGACAGAATTTCATCCTTTTTGTAGCTGAATAGTATTCCAGTGTGTGTATGTGTGTCACACCACATTTTCTTCATCTATTGATTTCATTTACATTGATCCTCCCCATTTTTGAGGACCCTCTCCATACTGTTTTCTGTAATGGCTGTACTAATCTATATTCCCACCAACAGTGTGTGAGAGTTCTTTTTTCTCTGCATCCTCATCAGCAATTGCTATTTTTAGGCTTTCTAATAGCCATTCTGACAGGAGTGAGATGAAATTTCATTGTGGTGTTGATTTGCATTGTCCTGATGGTTGGTCATGGTGAGCATTTTTCCTACGCCTGTTGGGAAATGTCCAGTTTTTTAACCTGTTCCCCCAAAGCTATAAGTTTATTAAATACATTATCTATCTGCTTTTCAAGTTATTGTAACTGACTTTTAATCAAATATCTTATATTTCTTGATGAGGATTGCTATCCTTCTAGCCTCTGAGAAGTTTTCTTGCTGCCTGACCTTCAAGCCAGTGGCATGTATTTTAGTTTTTTTGTTATAATAGCATCCTATCTCCAGGTACCAATTTGTATTTGTTAGGATGGGCTAGGATATGCTGTGATAACCAAGAACCTAAAAATTTTGGTGGCATATAATATCCAAAGTTTTTTTTTTTTCTTATTCTTGTGACATTTTGGATCACTGCCCTGGATCAGAAGGGGAACCAGGCTGGTACAACAGTAAACATCTCAAGCCTGGCAACAGAAGGAAGAGTGCACTGAAAGATTTCACAGCTTTCACCAACAGTTAAATGCTATGGTTCTGAAATCATACAGGTCACTTTGACTTACAACTCATTGGCCAGAATTAGTCACCTAACCCCACCCAGCCACAGGACAGCCAGAAAGTGCAATCATACGGAAATACCTGATGAACAGCTCTGAAGACTCACCCTTTCAGTATTTGTTTTTGTGTATTGGAAGAGGAAGGATAAGGAAGTGGGGATATTGTAGATTCTATCCTACAACTCCTTGCAGTGTGTTAACTGCACTTTTGTTTTTTGGAAATATTTAAGAAGACAGAGGAAGTGTAACTTCAGCAGGCCATGTTTCATCTGATCTGAGTTTAATGTCGTTATCCTTCTTCCCTCTATTAAAAAGTAAGTTAAAGTCCTAACTGTTGTAACACCAATCGTCTGCTACCGTTGATTACTGGAAAGAGTTAATTTGCCTTTATAGAGTTAAAAAAAGAAAAAAATGACCAGCAGTGTCTGCCACAGTTGCTTCTTTATAATGAGATTGATAACTCTTTTTTGCTTACATTTGGAAGAATCAGCCTTTCGTTCGGACCAAATTTAATGCATGATACAAACTTCTAGTGTGGCTTACTTAATGTTTTTGTAGGGAACATCTTAAATATTATCTGGAAACTTTACTTGATGTATTTTATCTCCTTCCGCTCTGAAATAAGGGAGTTTATGTGGTGTTTATATTAGTGTCAGGACCTTTACAAGAAAAGAATTTTCCTCCTTTTATGGCACATTTTTCAACATTTTAATTTGCCTTTTCTTGTGCAAATTAAAGTTGTTACAAATTTTCTCTTGTTTCCATAGGAAAGAGGAAACCATATTTATTTTACATAGCATTTAGTTTTAAGAATGGTCCAGTGAGTTATCTCATATCTCAAAAGTTTGTATCATTGTAGGTTGAGGTATGTGGTATAATCTTTGAAATGAATTATTGCCATTAATTTAATCAGAAAAGCTTGGTTAAAAGTAAGGCTTCCCTGGGATGGTGATACGTGCTTTTCTTTTTTATTTTGTTTTATGTTTTACAGTATGTAGAGAGATCTCATTCTCTTGTACAAGTTGAAGTGACTGACTATAGTCAGTATAGTATAGCGCCTGAATTTATCATAAGTCTTCAAGTTCCATAGTGAGATTTGATTATGTTCATAGGTTGACACTTGTTAACAGTGACAGTCTGCCAATAAAAATTAGTTCAAGGTGTAAAAAAAAATTTTAAGATTGGTAGGAGAAAGGGTATCTTTTAAGAAAACACAAGGTAAATTTGGAATTAAATTTCTAAAAATTTATTATTCCTGTATTCTAGAAGAGTAAGATTTCAGCTGGGCGCGGTGGCTCAAGCCTGTAATCCCAGCACTTTGGGAGGCCGAGGCGGGTGGATCACGAGGTCAAGAGATCGAGACCATCCTGGTCAACATGGTGAAACCCCGTCTCTACTAAAAATACAAAAAATATTAGCTGGGCATGGTGGCACGTGCCTGTAATCCCAGCTACTCAGGAGGCTGAGGTGGGAGAATTGCCTGAACCCAGGAGGCGGAGGTTGCGGTGAGCCGAGATCGCGCCATTGCACTCCAGCCTGGGTAACAAGAGCGAAACTCCGTCTCAAAAAAAAAAAAAAAGTAAGATTTCTTAGAGTTAACTATTAAGCTTATTTATTAAAGAATAACTAAACTATTTCTATTAATAATTTAGGCCATTACTTATTATAATTTGCCTATTAGAATAATAAATGCATCAGGACTTTATGGACATATCTTTATTTAATCCTCATGGCATCATTTGAAGTTAAGTGGCATTTTCTGCACTTTACCAGTAAAGAAACAGGTTGAGTTGATTTCATTAGTCAGAGAGCTAATACATGTGTGCTAAGGACTGTGCTAAGAGGTTTATATCCGTTTCTCATCTCTTTTTCTTCCTATAATGGCAATTATCTGATTTTACTAATAAGGAAATTTGGTTTAGAAGAGTCAAGTCACAATTAGTAAACAGCAGACTGTGGAATTTCAATTCAGATTTCTGATCATTGTGTGCTGTTGAATAGTATTATTATATCTTTTATATATGTATATACCTTCCTATTTGGTAGACTCTTCTAATGAAATCAGAAACTTTGTTTCCTTACACCATGTTATACAATATAGAAGAAAAGAATGTATGGTATCAAATAATATTAAACTAACTAGAAATTATGAAATATTTACTACTGTGATAATTATAAATGAAAGGGGGTGAGTTTGAGTAAATGAGAGGAAAGACACATATTTTAAAAAGAAAGTTTTGAGATTGTCAAAGTTTCTTTTTTTAACCAGTCCAGGAAGATACTACTACTACAAATATCAGAAATTACGCTGGGGATTTTATGGTTTTGGTAAAACTTAGGGACTTCATGATAGTGAATAGGAAGAAAATTCTATAAGATTATTTTTAGTTTTAATCTGAAGTAAGTAAGAAGTACATTGTATATACTTCACTTTTTTAAAAAAATCATGGATACATAATAGTTATATATATTTATGGGGTACATGTGATATTTTGATACAAGCATACAGTGTGTAAATGATCAAATCAGGGTAATTAGAGTATCCATCACCTCAAGCATTTATCATTTCACTCTGTTAGTAACATTCTAGATCCACTCTTTTAGTTGTTTTGAAATATACAATAAATCATGGTTAAAAAAAAAATCATGGTCTCTTTATTGTGCTGCCAAACCCTAGATCTTATTCCATCGCACTATATTTTTGTACCCATTAATCATCCCTTCTTTATCCCTCCCTCTCCACTACCCTTCCCAGCCTTTTTATTCTCTGTCTCCATGAGTTCAGTTTTTGTTGTTTTCTTTTTAGCTCCGACATATTGATGAGAACTGTCGCTTCTCATACTAGCCACATTATAGTATTCCAGAGTTATCTTAAACATGCACAAATGTTAGCTTTCATACAAACCCTAAAGGTTTGTATTTTAGATAAGTAAACAATGTATGTAATAAAGTAAGTGTAACAACAGCTAAGTGCTACATTGACTGGCAAGAAAACAACCATAGATAAATCTGTTATTTTTGATAAAAGAACCAGGACGTGGTCAAATTTAGTCTACTTGATTGATACTTTGTTTCAACCTATTCAGTTAATCACATAACTCCTCTCTCTGGGTGGTAAATAATTTCATTATCTTCTGACTTCTTTTATGGTAGATTTTTTAGTAATAATAAAGTGTTAAGCTCGATTCCTTTCTTGAGACGGACTGTTCGCTCATTGCCTGGAGTGCAATCCTCAGCCTCCAGAGTAGCTGGGATTACAGGCATGCGCCACCATGCCTGGCTAATAATTGGTTTTTAGTAGAGACGGGGTTTCTCCACATTGATCAGGTTGGTCTTGAACTCCCAACCTCAGTTGATCCACCCGCCTCAGCCTCCCAAGTGCTGGGATTATAGTTGTGAGCCACTGCACCTGGCCTGTATTCCTTATAAGTCAACTCCTCTCTGATTACTTTCTGTAGAAAGAAGATTATTTTGTTTCCACATATGGTACGGTAAATGTGTCAAAGAGGCAAAGTGTTAGAAATCCAGAGGAAGAACTAACAAACTTTAATAGTAGTTTTCTATTTTTATGTATATTAAGCAAGATAAAACAATACTTACTAAAGAAAAACAGACTTTTTACTGTGAACTGCTGTATATGTAATGCTAACGCGTGATTAAGAATGGCATAGGGAAGCATCTATACCTGGTCTTGGCTCTTTTGTGACTTCCTCTTCCTCAGCTCTGTCCTTCATATCCAGGATGCCTGGACAGTAACAGCAGATAAGTCTTAGGAGCTAAAGTAAAGTAGAAGCACACTAAGGAGAACTCTGTAAGCAAAGCTAAGAAACCTGCTCATACTTCCTTAGGTGGAGCTGTCTGATGATCCTTGTATCTAAGATGCTGTTGATCATCTCCTCAGCCGTTTAAAGTCCTTTTCGCTTCTCTCTCAGCATTCTGAGTCCTCCCCTGAGTACCAACCAGAACCCAGCCATAGATGGGAAGGCAAAAGAAGACAAGAAGGAAGAATTAAGCTACAGTAGAAAGCATGGGGTTCTGGAGTCAGACCTCAGTCCAAATCCTACTTCCACCACTTTGGGCAAGTGACTTAATGTTACTGAGCCTCACTTCCCCCGTAAAACGGGTATAATAATCAATCTTCAGAGTGAACATGAAGTGTCTAATAAAGGATCTGAATATAGTGATAAAGTTTTTTTAACTTAATTTTACTTTCCTCTTCTCTCATTTTCACCATGTAAATAGTATAGCATGCTTTAGCCTCTGTCACTGGTTTCCCTTACCAAAACCAGACTGCTGAAGCTCAAAAATTAAATCGATCTAAGCTGGGTGTGGTGGCATGCACCTGTAGTACCAGCTACTTGGGAGGCAGAGGCAGGAGGAACACTTGAGCCCAGGATTTGGGGCTGTAAAGTGCTGTTTGTGCTTGTTAATAGCCACTGCACTCCAGCCTAGGCAACAAAGCAAGATCCCATCTCTGGGGGAAAAAAAAAACCAGGTCTATATCAAAGATCTGCAAATTTTTTCTGTAAAGAATCAGGTAGTAAATGTTTTAAGATTCAGTGACCCTACAGTCTCCATCATCACTACTCAAGTCTCTTGGTGAAGGGCAAAAGCAGCTATGGAATGATATGCAGACCAGTGAGTGTGGCTATGTTCCAATATAATTATTTAGAAAAACAGGTGGTGGACTAGATTTGGCCCCAGGACATATAGCTTAACCATCTCTAATCTTTGTCTTTAACCACTAAAGATAGATCCATTTTGAGATTTCATAGTCAAAATATAGTCCCCTTATTTAAAAAAATGAAGTGGAAAAGATCTCATTATGAGTTGGACAGTGAATGGAGTTACAAGATGGTGTTTCCCAAAATTGACATATATTGTAGAGGAGAATGGTACTGTAAATTAAAGATCAGGTCCCACCAAACATTTAAAGAAATCACATTAACATGGTCAAAAGCCAGGTGTGGTTGCTCACGCCTGTAATCCCAGCTACTTGGGAGGTTGAGGCAGGAGAATCACTTGAGCCCAGGAAGCAGAGGTTGCAGTGAGCCGAGATCCCACCACTACACTCTAGTGGGGGCAACAGAGCAAGACTCTGTCCAAAGGAAAAAAAAGGTCAAATGACTAAGAAATGTTGAATTCTATATTATTTATTTGGAAGATTATAATACAGTTTGGTATACATAAAATCTGTGAGGATTCTCCTGTAAAGACATTGTTCAGCATAGTTTATCCCAGCCTCTATGCATATCCCAAAATTATTTAATCACAGAACCCTGCATGTAACTACTTTTCAGAAGACATGATTTTGAAACTATCTAGTATAAATAGAGAAATTAAGAAATTAAGATAGGGATTTAAGAAAGAAACTTTTACTGACTTAGAAAGATTATGCAGTTACCTGATAACAATTCTGGAAGCAGTACTCGAGTCTCTTGTACAGACTCTACTTTTCTAAAAGTTCTTTTACTCTTAGGTTTATTTAGGGGGGAAAAAACTAGTATTTGGAAGTAATTTTCACTTAACAGAAAAGTTGCAAGGAAAGGAGTAAGTACATAGAGCATTGTCTACCCTTTACCCAGATACATCTGTTGTTAACACTTTACCCCATTTGCTTTATTGTTTGTTCTCTTTCTCACATGTACACACATATTTTTTCCCAAACCATTTAAGTTGTTCATCATGGCCCTTTACCCCTAAATAGTTTCTTGGACGTTGGCTGGGCACAGTGGCTCATGTCTTTAATCCCAGCACTTTGGGAGGCCAAGGTTGGCCGATAACCTGACGTCAGGAGTTCAAGACCAGCCTGGCCAAAATGGTGAAGCATTGTGTCTACTAAAAATACAAAAAAATTAGCCGGGCATGGGAGCGCATGCCTGTAATCCCAGCTACTAGCGAGGCTGAGGCAGGAGAATCACTTGAACCCAGGAGATGGAGGTTGCAGTGAGCTGAGGATGAACCACTGCACTTCAAGCCCAGGTGACAGAGCAAGAGTCCTTCTCAAAGAAAAAAATTTATTTTTTCATGGATGTTTTCATGTTTTATGATGTAGTTTTGAAGAATACAGTTTTGACTTTACTAACAGAGTGACCCCATCTTAGGTTTGGCTGATGTTTTCTCATATTGAAGTTTCGCATTCCCAGCTGGAATATCACATTAAGGGATATTGTGTCCCCATGGCATCACATCTGAAGTCACACAGATGCATCTGTACCTCACTGGTAGTGGTAGTTTTCACCTGGTGAAAGCATGGTCCAGTTTGCCCACAGTATAGTTCCTACCTTTCCCCTATAACAAACAAGCAGTCTGTGGGGAATCTACATCCTTACTGTTATTTGTTTATCCCCTGCCGCTTCCAGTGTGTGTGAGGCAGGTTGTTCGGAATCCCTATCAGGCATTTTTTTTCTGGATTCTAATTTGCTCAGTTTTTGGCTCAGTTTTCCACTTTATAAAGATTTCAGTTGAATCTTTATGAAGATAGACACTTTAAAGTCACCTCTGCCTATTTTTTATGTTACCATAGTGAGAGTATTACATAATCATTGTGGAAGACTCCAAAAGCAGGGTAGACTTCCTAGTAGAATTGTAAAGAAGGGAGAAGGGTTATAGATGGAGTTAGAGACAGGGAACAGTACATATAGGTGTTACTAGAAAGTTCTACTAGATGCTCATTCTAGGTGGAGTCGGAAATTCAGGGTAGAAAGGGGTCGGGTGTTGAACTGAAAGAATTAGCTAGAGCTAGGTCGTGAGGGCCTGTTTGCCAAGGCAAGTTTGAATTTCACCAGGGAGGCAATAAAGAACCAAAGATGAAGTGTCAGAGTGACTTGGTCAGACTCTTAGAAAGACCAGTGGAGAGTAATGTGATACTAGAGGTTAGCAGGCCACTTGCTCCATGAACTGTGGCCTTGGGATGGAAAAGTACTGAGTAATTTCTAGTCATAAAACAAATGAGATATCTGTGCTTGATTTGAAAATGAGGAAATAAGCAAGAGGGAGCTGGAAACATTGAGGCTTCTGACTTGGGTGACGGGATAGATGAACGTGCAACTTACTGAGCTAGGTCAGGAGGAGGAAGAGATTTGGAGAGTCACAGAGCAGGGGTGTCAATGTTATGTGAGAGATGTCTGTGGAACATACACAGTAAGGTCTTTACAGACATGCCTGAAGTTCAGAAATCTGATCTAGAAATTAAGATTTAGAATAATCACCAGTATCCAAATGGTAGTTGAAGCTATGATAGTCGGTGAAATTGCAAGAGTGTGTATATGCAAGCATAAAGGACTAAACATTGGGACAGACTTAGTTTGTGCTATTGATTATATAAGCACTTTTAGACAGATTTAAATTAGTTTATTGCTGCTGCTGTAGGGCATTTTAGCAAAAAAAAAAAAAAAAAGACACACATTTGTATTTGTATCTTACTGCTCTTGGGGCTATTTTGGAAGCATAAAAATCATCAGCATAAAGATTACAACAAAAAGTAACAGTTTTGGGGGCCTTTTAAATTTTAATTTTGGAGAAGTGATTCAATTAGATTGTGGCTTTTCTAAGCATAAAAAGAGACTTTAATTTTATTCCCTTCCCCTTTACATTGTCACACCTCACACGGGGCATGTAGGCTCTTAATACCCACAGCACAAACATCCTAAGCCTAAAGAGGTACTAGGGGCACAAATAAGGACATGAGAGAACAAGGATCAGAATGGAATTTAGGCCTGGGCTGCCTCTGATGGTGCTACTAAGTCACTTGGCTTTACATCCTGTGTATTTTGTGAGGAAAGTAGTAAATTGGCAAATGTTTCATGCTGAAGAGAAATAACAGAACTGGACTATTTTATCTATACCTTAACAAAAGTCTTCCTTTTTATATTCTAGAAATTGAGTACTGAGCTTTAAGCAGGAGGATAGGTAGAGAGTGATAACCTTGTATCATTTATTTCTTGTGGAAAATAATAGATATTAAATTGCTCTTTTCCTTTCCAGATACTATCCTTAAATATTGCAGATATAAAAGCAAAATGTATTCTATTTATTTATTTATTTGAGATTGAGTCTTGCTCTGTCACCCAAGTTGGAGTGCAGTGGCACAATCTTGGCTCACTGCAGCTTCCACCTCCCAGGTTCAAGCAGTTCTCTTGCCTCAACCTCCCAAGCAGCTGGGATTACAGGTGCATGCCACCACACCTGGCTAATTTTTCGTATTTTCAGTAGAGACAGGGTTTTATTATGTTGGTCAGGCTAATCTCGAACTCCTAACCTCAAGTGATCCACCCACCTCAGCCTCCCAAAGTGTGGGGATTACAGGTTTAATTTTTTATTTGCTTTTAGGAACTGTTATCTTCATTTCTTTATGAAATCTATTCCAAACGGTAATAGTTAATTGACCTTAAATAACTGATGTAATTCACTGGGTCATTTATTTATTAAATAACTATTTATTGGATACTTGTATGCGTTAGGAATGATTCTTGACCTGGGATAACGCAAAGCAAAAAATCTCACTGCTGCCTTCATGGATCTTATACTCTGGTGAGAAGAAACTGTCAAGTAGTCTATAAGGAAGTGACAAGTGCTACAGAGAAATAAAGCGGAGTTGGGGAATACAGTGTTCTGGGGTTGAGCAAGATTTTATTATGAAGATTTTCAAACATTCAGTAAAAGTTTCAAGAATTTTATAGTAAGTACCCATAATACACCGCTAGCTAGATTCTTCTACTTTATTATGTTTGTTTTATCACACATGTATCCATCTCTCCATTTTATTTTTTAAAGGCATTTAAAGTATCTTACACACAAATGTATGTTTTCCTAAGTACTTTGGCATGCATATCATTCATTAGAGTTCATTGTTTGTTTATTGTTTCTTTCACTTGAGGTAAAACTGACATGCAGTGAGATTCACAAATAGTGGATATTGGTTAAATTTTGCCAAATTCATATATTTACATAACCCAGCCCCCCATCAAGATAGAGAACATTACCATCATCCCAGAAAAGTCTCTCATTCCCCTTCTCAGTTTCTGCCTCCACTTCCCAGAGGGAACTACTGTTATGATTTTTTTTCTGTCATAGATTGTTTTTGCCTGATTGAGAACTTCACTGATGTATTTTGTGTGAAGCTATTTTTACTGTCTGTAGTATTCTTGAGATTTACCCATGTTGTTGCATGTAGAATTAGTTTGTTCCGTTTTATTGATGAGTGATAGTCTACTGTATGACTTTACCACAGTTTGTTCATCTGTCCTATTTTAGTGGACATTTGAGTGGTTTCCAGTTTGAGACCATTGTGAATAAAGCTGTTTGAACATTCCTACTCAGGGTCTTTCTGTGGACTTGTGTTTCCCTTTCTTTTGAGTAAATTTTTAGATGTGGACTTGCTGGGCTATGGATTGTGTGTATTTGGTCTTAAAGGATCAAATACGTGGCCTTTTCCTCACTAACCATGTATGAGAGTTCTAGGTACTCCATATCCTCACCATCATGTTAGCCTTTTCCATTTTGGCCTTTCTGCTGGATATATAGTGGGAGAACTGGTAAGGAATGATCTGATTAATCTGGGAAGATGACTTTTAAACAAAAACTTAAAAGAGGTGAGGGAGCAAGCTGATTCTTATAAGACTGACAAACAGCAAGGAATCCAGTACGACTAGAGCACAGTGAGTGAAAAGGGGAATAGTGAACAGTACCAGAGAGGTAGCAAGGAAAGGGGAGTGCATATCATGTTGGACCTTGGAAGCAATTTCAAGGACTTTGGGATTTATTCTGAGATGGGAAATAAGTGTAAGATTTTGAATGGAAGAATGACATGACATGACCTAACTTGTGTATTAACAGGATTGCTCTCACTGTTCTGTGAAGCATAGATGAAGGTGCAGGCAGAGAACCAGTTAGAGGCGATTATAATGAGTCAAGCAAGGGCTGGGCATTTGGATGTAGAAAAACTAGGTGGTATTTGCTGGAGCAGTGTTTCCTCCATAGGGTTATTTGTTTGGGTTCTGAGAAATGTCATTTGAAAATAGGAAAGAAAATAATTCAGCTCAAGCCTTTTGTTCAGACAGCAATGGAGTCTCCCTCTACATGCATAAATATTCAGGGATTTTAACTTCTTAAGTAGCTTCTTAAGAGTTAGTCATCACTTATTAATACATAGGAATTCTGTATGTTACTGTTGCTTTTAATAAGCTATTTTTAATTCAATAACCAAAAAGGTCTAAATCTGGCCTTACTTGTTATGGATAAGTGGTATAATCATCATTTGTTTAAATAAAAATTTAATGAGTGAATATAATTTAATCTTTGTTTAGGAATCTGCATAATATAACCTTGAACAGCTCTTTTTCATTCGGTAATGTTTATTATAATTATAGAGCAAGTAGAAATATCTTTTTTCATGTGTTTTATTTAGGTTGATCCTTTTCATCTTTCTACAATGATATTTTATAAAATACTGAGTGCCTACTGGTAAGCCAAAATATTATACTAGGCAATGAGTAGGTTACAAAAACAGTATCAATTTAGTTCTCATCCTTAAAAGATTTACAGTCCCCAAATAGTACATGAGAATACATCTTTTAAAGGAAAAGGTAGAAAGGCAAATTAGACATGGTCTCTACCCTTAAAGAACTCACATTTTGGAGATCAGTATGTAAACACGAATAGTGACAGCACAGTACCCTAAGTATAAAATGTAGTAGTGCAGAATCACAAATGAGGGAGAAATTCTTCCTGGGAGAGGTAGAGAAAAAATCATTTTGAACCAGACTTTGAAACTCAAGTGGGAATTTCCCATGGTGGGGTGAGAGCATGAGGAATGGTGACAGCAGCAAAGATACGCACCTGTGTGAACAAAGGAACAGAGCAGACGTTTATGGCAGGTTTGCAAAACCTATGCCTTCAGATAGGCTTTATCTACAGATAGGTAATGTCACTCATGTGATAAAAAATATTTGTGCCTTCTTAATATTAGTGATATGCCCTGTTTAGAGCAGGCTTACGCTTTTTTGTTAGCTACTCATGCATTTAACAGACACTATAGAAAGCCACCTGATAAGGCAATGTTTTTCATGGTGTAAGCAAAAGCAATAAAGCGAAGAGGGAGCATTTCCTGCTGGAGAGAAGAGAGGGAAAGATGGATAAGGAAAATATATTTTGCAAATAATAAAAATGCATAGCAGGGTGACTTGCTGAACTTGGAGTCAGATGATGAAGCTAAAATTCACATTTGAGTCTCTAAAGTCTGTGCTCTTCTATTGCACTAGGCAGGCTGAAGTGACAAAAATGAATACTTTCAGACCTGGGTGTCATGATAGCAAGGCTCACGGCAAGAAAGTGTGCCTCTGAACTTTCTAAAGGTTGTTGTTCAGTGTTATCTCATCTTATTGTTCATGTTGTTATGTATAGAAAACTTATCTATAATTATTTTCAGCCCAAGAAGTTTTTAAGTTATTTGCTTAATTATAAGCTGTGGTTTATCTGATTCCAATTCCATTTTTATAAGATTGCATATTAAATAATTCTTCAAATTATTTAATTGTTTTTCCTTTGTTCACTTTAAAATCAGGCTGATTTGAGAGTGTATGCCTCTGTAAAATGAAAAATTGGAATTGATCTTGGTGTTATAGCAATTAACTGAAATCACAACTCAACCTAATTATTGTAAATTTTATAATATAAATAAATTTTACCCATCCAACATGTTATAAATAGTAAGTAGTCTTCGTACATAGCTATTCCGTTGTCTTTTTGTTTTGTTTTGTTTTGTTTTGTTTTGAGACTGAATCTCGCTCTGTTGCCCGGCCAAAGCCCATGTTCTTAATCATTGTACTATATTGCCTATAAAAATCAGAACTCCTTAGGGACCATGTTTTACACCTAAATAATTAATTTTATTATGGTTTATTTGAAAGAATAAATGAGAAATCTGATAAGGAAAAATTATGAGTGGGAAATTACCATGCTAGATAGAATGAGGCAATGCAGTATGAGGCTACATTTTTCGATTTATTTATTTATTTATTTATTTTGAGACAGGGTATCGCTGTGTTGCCCAGGCTAATCTTGAACTCCTGGGCTCAAGTGTTCCACCTGCCTCGGCCTCCCAAAGTGCTGGGATTATAGGTGTGAGCCACTGTGCCCAGCCCAAGGCTACATTGTTTAAAACACATTAAATATTGGCATTGGAGAGAGTTGAGTGGACTGGGAAAAGAAAAAAAAAAAAAAGCTTGAAAATACTCCCAGTCGGAGGTGAAATGTATTTTATAATATAGAGACTTAAGTTTTTTAAATTTTTTATTATTATGGGTACATAATAGGTGTATATATTTAGGGAATACATGTGACGTTTTGATAGGGGCATACAATGTGTAATAATAATCACATCAGGTGATTGGGATATATATCGCGTCAGCATTTACCATGTTTTTGTTTAGGAACTTCCCAATTTTACTATTTTAGTTATTTTAAAATATGTAATAAATTACTGTTGGTTGTCATCATGCTGCCATGCTATCAAATACTAGGTCCTACTCATTCTGTCTCACTATATTTTTCTACCCATTAACCATCCCCACTTTTTCTCCCCCTCCCCAGTACCCTTCCCAGCCTCTGGTAACTCATGCTTTCTATTGTTTTAATGGAAAATTGAGTTCAATTGTTTTAATTTTTAGCTCCCACATAATGAACAAGAACATGCAAAAGTTTTCTTTCTGTGCCTGGCTTATTTCACTTAACATAATGTCCAGTTTCGTCCATGTTGTGCAAATGATAAGTGTTTTCATTCTCTTTTCTAGCTGAATAATATTCCATTGTTTATAGTTCCACATTTCCTTTATCCATTTATCTGCTGATAGACACAGGTTGATTCCAAATCTTGGCTATTATGAAAAGTACTGCAGTAAACATGAAAGTACAGATATCTCTTTGATATACTGATTTTCATTCTTTCAGGTATATACCTAGCAGTGAGATTGCTGAATCATATGGTAGTTCTGGTTTTTTTTTTGTTTTTTTTTGTTTTTTTTTAGATTTTTGAGGAACTTCCATACTGTTTTCCATAGTGGCTGTACTAATTTACATTCCCACCAACAGTGTATGAGGATTCCTTTGGGAACATTTTTAATGATTAAGGAGAGTATATGATTTTATACATGACATTAGGACAGATGGCTCACTCTTTTGGGAAAAAAGGTAGATTTTTGTCTCTCCTTACAGAAAAAATAAATTATAGATGTAAAAATAAACTATTAAAAGGGGCAAAGAACTGACAAGGGTGAATTTTTTTCATTTTCTGACCAACTAATAATCTCAGACACTGGCTTTTTTTTTTTTCTTTGCTTTTTTGTCTTTTTTTCTGAGACCGAGTATTGCTCAGTTGCCCAGGCTGGAGTGCAGCTGTGCAATCTCCGCTCACTGAAACCTCCGCTTCCCAGATTCAAGCAATTGTCTTGCCTTGGCCTCTGGAGTAGCTGAGATTACAGGCACATGCCACTACACTCGGCTAATTTTTTTTATTTTTAGTAGAGATGGGGTTGGCCAGGCTGGTCTCAGACTCCTGGACTTAAGCAATCCACCCGCCTCAAGCCTCCCAAAAGTGCTGGGATTACAGGTGTGAGCCAGTGCACCCAGCTGACATTGGCATATTCTGTTCTCACCTACAACTGCCTCTCTTTTGAACAAGTTGCCAGATATCAGAACTAGTTAAACAAAATAAATGAATGCTTGAATGCTGTGTCCTAAAGGCATCACCAAGAGTAAGATGGATTTGTAAAAGTCCAAAAGAAAACATCTGACTTAACATGTTCACCTACACATAGAAATTAAGGGTTAAGAGATTAAGGGTTCTGAGCTGGGAACAAAAAGCAAACTTGGTGTGTGTGCTAAGAATATTTTTCTTAATATTTGAGGATATCTGAGAATTGAAGAGTATGCATGTAACTGACTCATGTTGGGATTGGCAAAAACGCCTTGTGTCAGTGAGCATTCAGGGTCAGTAAATACGGCAACAGACTACCAACGTAGAAGAAGAGAATTTGCTGTTTAGTGACACTGTTCTCCCCACCCCACGTGCACACAATACGTGATTAGTTTCTGCCACCTCCTAGGGGTCATTAGGTGTTCCTTAGATATACTGTTTGAGCACTTCTACTTGTAGTTGTCCTACAGATGCTTTCACAAGTCCACAGAAATACCTTGTACATAATAATACACAAGTGTTTTTGTGTAGCACTTAGGAGACAGGTAGGCATTTAGGTTGTTTTATCAATTTGTATCTGGTTAAATAAATTTGATACATCAAAATATACGTCAGTAGAGTGGAATATAATGCAGCTATTGTAAGGAATGTAGTAGAAGTATTGGTATGGAAAGATCTCCAGGATACATCAAGCAAACCAAAGCTAGGGATAAAGTTCTATATTGTGTATATCTTATATCTATTTATATAGGACTATATATATATTCCTTTATATATTTAAAAATGTACACATTTGTATATACATCACAATATTGGAAACATCATACGCATTCTTAACAGGCTACCTATGAGGGCTGGAACTTTTTATACTGTTAGAATGTTTTTTATCCATAAGAGACAGAGAGTGAGTGAGTGAGTGTGTGTGTGTGTGTGTGTGTGTGTGTGCGTTTGAATTTAATAAGGTATATACCAAAATTCAGTGTTGATTCAGGTTGATAGGGCTGGATGAGACTCATACTTTTATGTGGCAGTTGGTAGTATCACAAACTAGGTGTGGTGACTAAACCAAAATCTATTTTGAGAACCTGTTATATGCCAGGCATTATACTAAACATTTTATTCACATTTATCTTACTTAAATCTCCATCTCTATAAAGTAGATACTTTTTTTCTCTGACTAGAGGGAATAGATTTAGAAGACTGGTTTCTTGCTGGGAGTCACAAACTGTTTCACTATTGGAGCTGGGTTCTAATCAAGACAGCCTGAGTCCAGATAATGTGCTTTCTGCACCTACACATACTGTGGAAATGTGTATGAAAGGTTATCATATCAGACAAAAGACCAGGATTTTCAGTCAGTCAGTTTGAACTCAAAATGGAGATAACCACTGCCCTTCTTTGAAGAAATCATATTAGTTGATTTGTATTCAAATACCTTCTGAATGTATGAAGTACTATATGAATAAGAGATTTTAATCAATAAAATATCTTTTAGCCATAGCCCACTTTCTTTATATGTCAAGTTCAAATGTTTTAACTCCTCCTCATCTCATCTATAAAATGCAAGCTTTGTTTTTGTCACCTGTTTTGAATCTCTTTACATAACTCTCAGTTTTGACAATTCTTTTTGCTATATTGAGGAAATATTCAGTGTTTCTGACAAATTTTTTTTCTTTCTACCTAAACTGATTTTATCACTAGTTGTATCGTGTTAACAACATGCTTTCAAGGCCTACTACTGGAATCTCTATTTTAAAAACAAGTGAGAAAAAGAAATTGCAAGTCTATATGATCTGTTTGCTACTTTTAAAAAAATACGTGAACTTAGTTTTTCTTCTTTTTAGGAACATCATCTTCAACGAGCTATTTCAGCACAGCAGGTGTATGGCGAGAAGAGGGATAATATGGTTATACCAGTCCCAGAGGCAGAAAGTAATATTGCTTACTATGAGTCTATATATCCTGGGGAATTTAAGATGCCAAAGCAGCTCATTCACATACAGCGTAAGTAATGATTCTCTTAATGACTTTATTTTCTACATTTTTCCTATTATGTAATGACAGATTTTTATCTGTTGAGGAACATTTTCATTACTTATTTCATTGACCTGCGTCAGCTTAAGAGTTATTAGAGCCCATTTTCAACTTTTAGAATGATAATTTGAGATATCTGCCTGACAAGAAAAGATAGCATTTATTCTACATTTTTTGTTTTATCCCAGCATGCAATCTTGTGCTGCTTTAGACAAGTAGGATTTAAAAAAAAAAAAAATGCCTCAGATATAGAAATAGTTTTCCTCCTGTTCAGAATTAATAATGTTAATGGTCTTAAAGAACTTCTTGACGTAAGTGAAGGTTAGCAGACTTTTTCTGTACAGGGTCAGATTGTAACTACTGTAGGCTTTGTGGGTCATTCAGTCTGTCACAACTATTCAGCTCTGCTATTGCAGTGCAAAATCAGCCAAAGAGAATACAAAAATGAATGAACATGGCTGTGTTGCAATAAAACTTTAATGATAAAAACAGGTGGCAAGCCAGAATTGGCCCATGGGACATAGCTTGCCAACCCCAGATCAGTTTTTTTCTAGTAGAGTGATGCTAATTTTTAAAATATTTATAGTGTTCTGATTGGGAACTTATTTTGCTTAATAGTGATAGGGTCTTCATAAGAAATGATCATTTGATAACTGTGTGTGACATTTGGTGATAAATAGCTGAGAGCTTTTACTCAATCTCCAAGTAATTAACAACTTAAAAACAAATAATTGAAAAGTTAGTAAGGTAAAATTCCTGCAGCTTTCATTGTCTTGTTAATCTCTATGATCAAGAAGTTTTCCTAGGGGACCATCTACATTTTTTTTTTTTAGGACAATATAAACCTATTTTGTTTTTATTGTTCCTTGCAAGCACATTGAGAAACCAATTTTAACTAGTTTACTTGTGCACTCACATGTTTTGTTACATTTAAGAGATAGACACAGACATTACAAACAAATCTGATAAATATTAGAACCTAAAAAGTTGTTTTCCAGAAAATCATGTCAAGGTGGATTTGAAAGCTAGGGATCTGATCTTTCCCATGTATGTTAACTAGAACCACATTCTGTTCTGCTGCCACAAGCTATATTATCTTATAAATGCATGCTTTTAGGTTAAAGCAAGGTTGAGTAAAATAAGATAAAAGTATACTAATTTATATTATCATTATGAGAAAAAAATTGGTTCATGTCTTAAAGATGGCTTACTTATGATCAAAATCTATAAAATATATCTTACTGTTAACTAGTGAATTATATGTGGTCAGTAAAGTCAAAAGATACTATATTGAAAAAGGAATTGACTGCTGACATTATAATCAAATATTAACAAGTGACAGCAGAATTGTAGCTTATTTGGGAGGAAATTTTTTTATCGGTACAAATTTGAGGTAACTTGTCTTTGGAAAGATGTATACTTTGGAATATTAGTAAAGATAGTGCTGCTGAATTTGTGTTAGCTGCCCCGTATCTATGGGAGGTTGCAAAGAAACATACAGAGAAGCCTCCTGCACAGTTCCTCCAGCTTCATCCAATGTTAACCTCATGCACAACTATAGTGCAGTATCAAAACCAAGAAACTGAAGTTGGTACAATCTAGAGTTTATTTAGATTTCAGCAGTTAGACATGCACCACGTATATATGTGTGTTTGTGGTTCTGTGTCATGTGTAGCCCTGCGTAACCACCACCACTATCAAGACACTCACCGCCACCATCACCATCAGACTCCCTCTTGTTACTCTCTTATAACCGTACCTCTCCCTCCCCCCATCCACTGGCCAACACTCATCTGTGATCCATCTGTATAATTATGTTCACAGATGTTATATAAATGGAATCATGCAGTATGCATCCTTTTTAGGTTGGCTTTTTTCACTCAGTATCATTGAGGTTCATTCAGTTGTTGGATGTATCAGTAGTTCATTCCTTCTTATTGCTGAGCAGTATTCCATGACATGTATATAATACAGTTTATTTAATCATTCACTTATTGAAGAACATTGGGTAGTTTCCAGTTTTTGATCATTACAAATAGAGCTGCTATGAACATTCATGTACAAGGTTTTTTGAGAACGTGATTTTGTTGATGTTTGTTTGCTTGTTGAGACAGTCTCACTCTGTCACCCTAGCTGGACTGCAGTGGTGCAGTCTCAGCTCACTGCAACCTCCACCTCCTGGTTCAAGCGATTCTCGTGCCGCAGCCTTCCGAGTAGCTGGGATTACAGGTGTGTGACACCATGCCCGGCTAATTTTGTATTTTTAGTAGAAATGCAGTCTCAGCTCACTGCAACCTCCACCTCCTGGTTCAAGCGATTCTCATGCCTCAGCCTCCCAAGTAGCTGGGATTACAGGTGTGTGACACCATGCCCGGCTAATTTTGTATTTTTAGTAGAAATGCAGTCTCAGCTCACTGCAACCTCCACCTCCTGGTTCAAGCGATTCTCGTGCCTCAGCCTTCCGAGTAGCTGGGATTACAGGTGTGTGACACCATGCCCAGCTAATTTTGTATTTTTCACCATGTTGGCCAGGCTGGTCTCAAATTCCGGACCTCAAGTGATCCACCCGCCTTGGCCTCCCAAAGTGCTAGGACTATAGACATGAGCCACTGCACCCAGCCAGAACATGAGTTTTCTTCCTCTGGGGTATATATTCATGAGTGTAGTTGCAGAGTTCATCCATTTTTAGTTTGGGAGGGAACTGCCACGCTGTTTCCTGGAGTAGGTGTACCATTTTATATTATTACCAGGTGTATATTACCCAGTTTCTCCCTCTCTCTCCAGCACTGGGGGTTGCCACTATTTTTCATCTAAGCCATTCTAATAGGTGTGTAGTGATATCTCATTGGACTCATCTCGCTCTGTCACCCAGGCTGGAGTGCAGTGGCGTGATCTCAGCTCACTGCAACCTCTGCCTCCTAGATTCAAGCAGTTCTGCTGCCTGAAGACTCCCAAGTAGCTAGGAATACAGGCACATGCCACCATGCCAAGCTAATTTTTTTTTTTTTTTTTTTTTTTTAAGTAGAGACGGGTTTTCTCCATGTTGGCCAGGCTGATCTCAAACTCCTGACCTCAGGTGATCCACCCGACTAGACCTCCCAAAGTGTTGACAGGCATCAGCCACCATGCCTGGCCTCTTTTGCCCACTTTATGTGGGATGGGTGTCTTAATGTTGAGTTTCAAGTGTTTAACAGTAGCTGAATCTGGGTAAAGAGTATGCAGGTGTTCTTTGTACTGTTTTTATTTCAACAACTTGTATAAGTTTCGACTTCTAAATAAGGTTTTTTTAATGGATACTTTTTCCTAAAGTAGAATCTACATTTACCTTACCTCCCAGAACGGATATCCTGTCTCTGTGCTCAGCTTCTGAAAGATTATTTTCTCCTTCCCTCTGCCTGCCTTCACATCCCCTGCAGCATATTCTTCTGGTACCGCTTTCTGACAGATGAAATCTATAGCAGCCAGAGAACTTTATGTACAAAGCATCTTGTATCTGGGATTTCAAATTTGATATTCCCCATTTTCGCTAAGTACATTCTAGAGGTGACCCCAAGCTCTAGCTTATAAACAAAGGAAACTGAAGATTTTCATGATCTAGCTAGTCAGTGATATCTTTGTCTTAGATCTGAGGCAAAGATGTCAAATATGTATCAAGTGTTTTTAATTGTAACAATTTTAATCAACTTGAGGATTTCCAAAAGCCCATAGTAATAACACAGCACCTTCACAACAGTCTTTTCTGCTGCTCAGAATTGATATCAAGAGCTTTGCAAGTACATATTATAAATCATGCAGTTAGTGCTCAGGTCAAAACTGGTGTGATTATTTTTCTTCAACCTTGGATAGTGTTCCTTCCTTCTTTTGAAGCTGGGAGTATGTTTTTTCCTAATCCACATTGTGTGCTGTTTCATGGATCCAGATACCCTTTCACTGTTTGCTTCCTGTATTTTTAAAATGCTTTTGAAGTTATGGACATATTCACCCAATGCACACTTGAGTCATAAATGGCATTTGTTACATAGACACATGTATTTCATCTCTATTACTAAACTTAATTCCTTGTCTTAGATCTAAGGCAGGGATATCAAATACCTGCCACCCCATGAGAAATATCTATTGCTACACTTTAAATACCATGGTTTGTACCAGTCTGGATTTCCTTTAAAAATCATCTTATCAGTATATAAATCCTATTGTATTTCACCTAAGCTTATGTTACGTCTATGTGGTTGTTATGGTATACTTTTTCCTGCATCTGTGTGTCATACATAATACTGTATTTTCGTACCTATATGCATCTCTGGGTTTATTCTTATCAGAGTATTTTTAAAGTAGCCAGCTTCCACAGTGTAGTTCTCATTATTTAAGAATTATAGGCCAGGTGCAGTGGCTCACACCTGTAATCCCAGCACTTTAGGAGGCCAATGTGGGCAGATCACCTGAGGTCAGGAGTTTGAGACCAGGCTGGCCAACATGGTGAAAACCCGTCTCTACTAAAAAATACAAAAATTAACCAGGCATAGTGACAGGCCTGTGTGTAATCCCACCTACTTGGGAGGCTGAATGAGGTAGGAGAATTGCTTGAACCCAGGAGGTGGGGGTTGCAGTGAGCCAAGATCATGCCACTGCACTTCAGCCTGGGCAACAAGAGTGAAACTCCCATCTAAAAAAAAGAAAAAAGAATTATTAACAAGCTAGGTCTCACTTTAATTGATAGAACTTAATTATAAGAGATGACCTATTTGCCTGTTTTTCTTTAGACCCTGTTTTTTACTTTAAACACATCCAATAACATGACCCAGAAAATCTGAAGATACTCCTAATTCTAGGAACATGATGAATATTTTATATTTTTATTAGCTTGGGTTGAGGTTGTTAGTTGGAAGCTGCAGATTCAGCTACAGCTAAATTACATATTAAGGTTGTTGGCTGTGGGTTTTTTGGTCAAATGAAATCCTAAAGTGGGTTTTTACATGTTAGCGTTTCTCTAGAGTTTTGGTATTTAAAATGTGAATAACATTGGGCACTCTTCCTATTTAAGATTTTATATGAGTTTGCACTGAATAAAAAAGCCTCTTGGAGAGGCCAAAGGACTTGGACACTCAGGTCCTTGTTCATGTCAGAGGGAAAGAACCGGAGCTCCTTGATTTGTGTGATAGAAATCATTCTTTTCAGTCTTGATGCAGCCCCTGATATGTTGGGTGTAGATATTGATGATGTAATATCTACCAGAAGCTATGGCAAGTGTGTTTTGATGCAAAGCAAGGCGATCCTTGGCGAGCTCATTTTGTTTTTATGAACAATTAAGCTTTGTGACTGTGGTTTGACATGTGACATGATCTAAAGAAAAATATTCATATTGATAAGCTTAATTTTGGTAAGTAATTAAATGACGTTTTATAGTAGCGGTGGTTCTTGCCAGCAGATCTGAGGTCCTCTCATTTCCATCAACATGACAGTGTTCCCATAGGGAAACAGACCTCCTAGGCAGGAATGTACTCACCAAGTAACAGCTGCTGAAAACTCAGAATCTGAAACGTTCCGCAGCTCAAAACTTTTGAATACCAGTGTGATGCCACAAGTGGAAAATTATACGCCTGCCCTCATGTGATGATGGATCACAGTCAAAACTTTGTTTCATTCATAAAATTATTCAAAATATTACATAAAATCATCAGGCTGGCAGGATGCATTGGCTTACACCTGTAATACCAGCATTTTGGAAGGCCGAGGCGGATGGATCACTTGAGGTCAGGAGTTCGAGACAAGTCTGACCAACATGGAGAAACCTTGTCTCTACTAAGAATACAAAATTAGCCAGGCATGGTGACACATGCCAGTAATCCCAGCTACTTAGGAGGCTGAGGCAGGAGAATCACTTGAACCTGGGAGGCGGAGGCGTGATGAGCCAAGATTGTGTCATTGCACTACAGCCTGGGCAACAAGAATGAAACTCCGTCTCAAAAATAATAATCATAATAATAAATCACCATCAGGCTGTGTTTATAAGGTATATGTGAAACATAAATGAACTTTGTGTTAGGACTTGGGTCCTATCCTCAAGATATCTCATTATATGTATTCATATATTCCAAAATCCAAAACATTTCTGGTCCCAAGCATTTTGGGTGAGGGATTCCCAACCTACACTGTTATTGGTAGTGACTTCTAACACTTCAGCGTTAAAGACTACTCCCTTAGCTTTTGGTAAAGTAGTTGACTAATCTATAAAATAGGACAAATATTATAGAAAAAAATTATTTAAAGGTCTTCTTTTGTTTTATAAAAATTGTGATGATTTTTGAGCTATAAAAATGGCACTTGCATATGGTTCCATGGAATATGTTTTAATGGTTGCTTTATGTTCTTAATAATGGGTCTAGTTTATTTGCTTTTAGGAGTGGGTGGAGGGGGTCACATCCATTGTCTTATTACTTATATGTATATTCATAGTGAAGATAATCTTTCTTTAACTTTAAATGTGGAAGGCAAATCTGTAAGCTTAGATTGTTTGTGACTTTGAGAACAAAATCCAAAAATTCTTTCTTACTTCTTTAGAAAGTGTAGGTCTTGCTTTTATGCAGACATCTGTGAGGTTTTTGTTGGTGAATTCACACAGTAAATGATTGCGAATGGTTCCTTCTGTCAGCTTTTAGTTTGGATGCTGAACAGCCTGATTATGATTTGGATTCCGAAGATGAAGTATTCGTGAATAAACTGAAAAAGAAAATGGACATCTGCCCATTGCAATTTGAGGAGATGATTGACCGCCTAGAAAAAGGCAGTGGTCAGCAGGTACAACTTCATTTGTATATAACAAGTGTATACATACCGTGTGTAAAGAACTATACCGTATGGAGAGAGTGAGATTGAAGGGTGGGGGTAATCAGGCAGGCTTTAGAGTTAAAAAGTATGAATTCAAATCTCATCTCTGCTTATCAGTAACCTGTGTAATCTTGAGCAATATTTTTAGATTTTTCTTTTCAATCCTAGTTCCCCCAGGATTGTTGTAAAGATTAAAAAATTTATATAAAGCACCCTAGCTCAGTGACTGACATGCATACTGTACTCCTCACGTTTGCCATTTGTTAATAATGTTGTAATATCAATATTGTCCTTTAAATTTAGAAGTAAATACTTAAAACCTTGTATGTGTATTGTATGAAAATGACATAATGTTTTTACATTTAGCCAGTCAGTCTGCAGGAAGCCAAACTACTGCTAAAAGAAGATGATGAACTAATTAGAGAAGTTTATGAATATTGGATTAAAAAGAGAAAAAACTGTCGAGGGCCATCTCTTATTCCATCAGTAAAACAAGAGAAGAGAGATGGTTCCAGCACAAATGATCCTTATGTGGCTTTTAGAAGGCGTACTGAAAAAATGCAGACTCGAAAAGTAAGTGAACTTGAAGAAATTTTTTGATGTTTATATAATAAAAATGATGTATAGTTATGACTTAATGTGGTTTAATTTGTATTCAAATATGACTTTCTATCCAATTACAATAAAAAATACTAACTTAAATTAACCTTAAGATTTATTATGCAGTTGTTAATGTTATATTTTAATGTTAATCTGCTTAAAAATCAGTACAAAATTGATTTCCTGGTGATCTGTGCTCCCTTTCATTATCTTTAAATTCTAATTTAATCCTTAAAATATATAAATTTTTATGTGTCCATAACTATACCACTAGTTAGAAATACTAACATTAAACAAGCAACTTCACATTTGCAGAATCGAAAAAATGATGAAGCCTCTTACGAAAAAATGCTGAAGCTGCGTCGAGATCTAAGTCGAGCTGTTACTATTCTAGAGATGATAAAAAGAAGAGAAAAGAGTAAAAGAGAGCTATTGCACTTAACACTGGAAATTATGGAAAAGAGGTAAAGTATATTTTAATAATGTCAGAGGCACTTAACACTGGAAATTATGGAAAAGAGGTAAAGTATATTTTAATAATGTCAGAGGAAGTATAGTGCCATTAACATTTTCTTTATTGAGTTAATTTATTTCCTATGCAATAATCTAATTACAGAAATACCCTTTTTTAATAATAAAAACTGTTTAAATATGTGGTACTTTTTATACTTTTACGTGTTTTCCTCTATTTTCTTTAAAAGTGACTGGATTCACTAAAGCTAAAATATATGAAGTATTTCCATTTCAAATTGGTATTTTTTTGGTCCTTTAGTTGTATGTAGGACTGTGAGGGAGACAATTCTGAAGTTTTTGAGTTAATTGATAGGACTAATTCTTTTTTAATGCATATAGGATTAAAAACACTAGGTTGTTAAATAGAAAAGCTTAAAGAAAAAGGGGGAAAGGCCCATCAGTCTTACTACTCAAGCGTTTGGCAAGGTACACAATAAAAACTTAAAACCCACCTGCCCTATTTCTCGTCCCTATCCCCAAGGAAAACCAGTGTTAAATTTCTTGTGATTACTTTTAGAAAAATTAGTTTTATGGCTCAGGCAATTCTAACTAGCAGAAAGATCCTTAGCACCACTGTAGGCATTAATTTCAACTTCCTCACCAAATCCTTCACCAAAATTGCTATGTTAAAAATCCAGCTTTTGACTTTTTCCCCTCAGTCATCTATTTATATGCCATGATAAAGCTGTAAGCCAAAAAAGTAAAATGAACAAACAAAAGGAATTTGTTTGACATTGAATAGTCAAAGTTTAACTGCAGTCTTGCCTTAAATGTAATTGATGTTTATAATTTTATCCCAGTCAGCTAGTTATTAATGGTCATAAAGATAAGTACTTACAAAACTAACTTGCAAAACTTTCTTCTTTTTCCAGCTTTATTTAGGTATAATTGACAAATAAAAATTACATATTTTATATGTTGATCAAAGGTTACAAACTTGCAGTTCTGAAATGAGTAAGTTGTGGAGACCTAATGTACAGCATGGTTAATAACAATGTATTATATACTTGAAATTTGCTAAGAGAGTAGATCTTAAGTAATCTCACCACATATACACACAAGGTAACTATTTGAGGTGATGGATATGTTAATTAGCTTGATTGTGGTAATCATTTCACAGTATAAATGTGTATCAAAACATCACGTTGTATTCCTTAAATATATATAATTGTAAACTTTCGTTTTTACAATTTCAGGTATAATTTGGGTGACTACAATGGAGAGATCATGTCTGAGGTTATGGCACAGAGACAGCCAATGAAACCTACTTATGCCGTGCCCATTATCCCTATTACTAATAGCAGTCAATTTAAACACCAGGAAGCAATGGATGTGAAGGAGTTCAAAGTTAATAAGGTGATTAACTTTTTTTGTGATAATAGTATCTAATAATGGGTTGGTATTTTATCATTAGAATGAAAGTTAAAAAGAAAAATACAGGCCGAGCGCGGTGGCTCACGCCTGTAATCCCAGCACTTTGGGAGGCCAAGGCGGGTGGATCACGAGGTCAAGAGATCGAGACCATCCTGGTCAACACGGTGAAACCCCGTCTCTACTAAAAATACAAAAAATTAGCTGGGCATGGCGGCGCATGCCTGTAATCCCAGCTACTCAGGAGGCTGAGGCAGGAGAATTGCCTGAACCCAGGAGGCGGAGGTTGCGGTGAGCCAAGATCGCGCCATTGCACTCCAGCCTGGGTAACAAGAGCGAAACTCCGTCTCAAAAAAAAAAAAAGAAAAAAAAAAGAAAAATACATATATGCCAAGCACAGTGGCTTATGCCTGTAATCCTAGCACTTTGGGAGGCCAACATGGGTAGATCACCCGAGGTCAGGAGTTTGGGACCAGCCTGACCAACATGGTGAAACCCTGTCTCTACTAAAAATAGAAAATATTTAGCCAGACGTGGTGGCATGCACCTGTCATCCCAGCTACTCGGGAGGCTGAGACAGCAGAACTAATTGAACCCAGGAGGTGAAGGTTGCAGTGAGCTGAGATTGCACCACTGCGCTATATAAAGCCTGGGTGACAGAGCAAGACTCGATCTCAAAACAAAAGATAAAAAAAGAAAACTACCTTAATGTATGCTGCAATGATTATGCCATAATATGAAGAAAAGCAAAAGTCTATAATTAAAATTTTATTTTTGTTTCTCTTATTTCCTTATAAAGGGAAGCTTTTGTTACTATATCTGATAAAAGGAAAATATCCCTTTTACAAGTTGTAGGATTATGAAGTATTGAAATAATTCAAATGAAATATGGAGAGTTAGTTAGGGAGAAAGACATGAAATCTTCCCTGATTAGTTTTTCTTTTTCTTTTCTTTTTTTGAGGTGGAGTCTTGCTCTGTCACCCAGGCTGGAGTGCAGTGGCACAATCTCGGCTCACTGCAACCTACATCCCCCCAGGTTCAAGCGATTCTCTAGCCTTAGCTTCCTGAGTAGCTGGGACTATAGGTGTGAGCCACCACGCCTGGCCTCTTATGAGTTTTTCTGTCTTTTATGGACACATTCGTGTATAAGAGGGAATTCTGGTATCGGTTTTTTGTTGTTTTTTTTTTTGTGACGGAGTCTCGGCCATGTGGGACTGCAGTGCATGATCTCGGCTCACTGCAACCTCCACTTCCCAGGTGCAAACAATTCTCCTGCCTCAGCCTCCTGAGTAGCTGGGATTATAGGCTTGAGCCACCACACCCAGCTAATTTTTGTATTTTTAGTAGAAACAGTGTTTCACCAGCTTGTCCAGGCTGGTCTCGAACTCCCAACCTTGTGATCCGCCCTCCTCAGCCTCCCAAAGTGCTGGGATTATAGGCGTGAGCCACTGTCCCTGGCGTGGAAATTCTGGTATCTTAATAGTTTGTAATATAATTATTTAGAAATGGACGTATTTGACAAATTAGTACTTAACCAAATCCCAATTTGTGAAGAATAAAATTTGTAAGAGGAAATAAAATTAGCAAAGGGAAACTGAGGTAAATAAAGAAGAGCAGTTAATTAAACGGCAGTTTCTTGGAAAGTGTACGTCTAAGGAAAAAATACTTTAGGTATGTTTTGTATGAAATTTTTCATGAAACTTTGTATCCACCATGCCAGTTCAATTTGGGGAACGGGCAAGTTGGCCATCAGTTTTATCTCCCCTGCATCATTTAATGTCATGTTCACGCAGGTTTTTTTATTGTGGTAAACAGATCTTCAGTCCTGAACCATACAACCTGCGACAACTGTTAGAATGATGATTTCCCCAGCCTGGACTTTTTTTTTCTTTTTTGGTCATTTAAAGCAGTGCCAGGGACCAGACCATTTTGTGAGAAAACACAGACTTTTTTTTTTTTCCACTTTGTTAACATGGACATTTTGATTTTAAAAAACGTAGAGGAGGGTGGGCAGGAGAAGAATAGAGAGTTATTCTCTTCAATAATCTGTAAAGTTAGAGTTGTGGAGTTGTGCCCCAAAATATTGTTTTAGTTTACTCATGTATGTATTTACTTAAATTTTGTATTTATTTAAATTTTATGTCCTGCATTTATAATTTATTAGTTCTAAATCTTTAAAGTTTAATGGGATTGTTCCCACTCTTACTATTTTAATGTGGTCCCCCTTCCTGAGCCCTCCATGATTTTGTGGACTACTTTAATTATCCTTCAGCCTTCATATTTCAAGATTAATTGTCCTATTCTGTGCTTTCCCCTGTATGTGCCACTCATGCTTGAAAGTTACTTACTTTAGGCCAGGTGCAGCAGCTTCATGCCTATAATCTCAAAACTTTGGGAGGCGGAGGCCGGCAGATCACTTGAGGTCAGGAGTTCAAGACCAGCCTGGCCAGCATGGTAGAGCCCCATCTCTACTAAAAATACAAAAAATTAGCCAGGCGTGGTAGTGCGCGCCTGTAATCCCAGCTACTTGGGAGGCTGAGGCAGGAGAATCACTTGAACCCGGAAGGCAGAGGTTGCAGTGAGCCTAGATCACACTACTGCACTCCAGCCGGGGCGACAGAGCAAGAGTCCATCTCAAAAAAAAAGAAAAGTAATAGATAATAATGTAGTCCTAAGTACTGCCCTAGCTGACAGTTCATGTTAGCTTTTATATAGTGCTTTGCATTGCCATGGCTAGCTTTGATTTTATTATCCTGTCAAATACCACAATAGAAATTGTAGAGATAACCTTGTAGTTTGATAGTTAACTTTTCCTAAAAAACCGTAATGCCATAAACTACATAAAACGTAACATAAATATTTAGGATATTTACATAACTGTGGTGCTTGCCATGATCTTTTCATTTCCAACAAATCCAGTTTTTGCCACTAATTTTCCTTACCTATTGCCTACATATCAAATTCATACTTCTCCCAACTTTTGCCATCATCTGCAATGCATGTTTCTAACATGCTGTGTTCCATCAGCCCAGTTACTCTTGCCCGTATATGTTATCCTGCGCTTCCCGTAATTATTTCATGTATTTATCCTCTAAAACTATTCAAATTTCATCATTTCAGAAAGCTTTCATTGTTCAGCCAGCAAATCCTTACTGCTCTTTATTTGTATAGCCCCTCACTCAGCATTATGGCCTTGTTTTCTGTGTTAACAGTTACCTGTAGTTTGCTTTGTGTTTTTACAAAGACATTTTCATTATTCTTTGTCCTATATTTGTTATTTCTTGAGAATAAGGACTAGACAATCCCCCTTTTAAAAGAAATTTCTCTTCTAGAATTTTCATAGAAAATTAAGAAAAAGCGAGAAGCCAGCAGTAAATATACTAACTGCAGTTGTAAGACTTCAGAAGTTGGAGAACTTCTGTTCTCTCCTTTCACTTTAATTGAAACAAAATTGTTTGTGGGATTATGTTTAGATTGTAGGACAAATTTATGCTTTCATGGAGGCCAACTTCTCTAGACTTTACAATATAAGATGGCCATATACAGAGTCTTGTGTCTCTTATGAATATGAATGCCCTCATTATAGCAATAAACTTCTTTTTTAAATTTCCCCCAAAACTGCAAGTTCGTTGAACATGGTTTCTGGTATATAATTAATTCATGTCTTTGTTGCAGCAAGATAAAGCCGATCTTATCCGACCGAAACGGAAATATGAAAAGAAGCCCAAAGTCTTACCATCGTCTGCCGCTGCTACTCCCCAACAGACGAGTCCTGCTGCACTGCCGGTCTTCAATGCTAAAGATCTGAATCAGTATGACTTTCCCAGCTCAGACGAAGAACCTCTCTCCCAGGTACAAATAGGATTCTCTGTGAATGTTGAGGGAGGGATGTAGGAAGTCGCATATCTGACCCACTTTCTTTATTTCATTTAAAGGTTTTGTCTGGCTCTTCGGAAGCTGAGGAAGACAATGATCCTGATGGACCTTTTGCTTTCCGTAGGAAAGCAGGCTGTCAGTACTATGCTGTAAGTTTCAGACTGTCTTTGTAAATAACAAACTGTTTACCTTTAACTGGCAAAATAAAATAATTTGGATTATTTTTTTTAAGCCTCACTTAGACCAAACTGGCAATTGGCCTTGGACTAGTCCTAACGATGGAGGATTAGGGGATGTGCGATACAGATACTGCTTAACTACTCTCACCGTACCCCAAAGGTGTATTGGATTTGCACGAAGACGGGTTGGGCGCGGTGGAAGGTAAGAGATTTCCGTATTCCTAGCAGAGGGATATTTTAGGCATTAGAGTGATCGAATCTAACTTGTAAAGTCAATTAATCCTTCTGAACAGCTCGTTAGTTCCTATTTGCTATTCTTAATTGATTTGTTTACTAAAGTATTTTTGCTGCTATGCTACCTGGTTCTAACACATCTATAGCTTTTGACATAACTCTAATGGGTCCCTAATGGACCTGCTTTTCTCCCCAAGGTGGAAAACCTCAGATAAATTATCAAGGGATAGAATTGTGAGAAAAGGCAGCAGATGAAGACAAATGTAAATCCTGATTGCACACAGTGTATTAAGTTAAAGAAACTGCAGAAAAGTTGTTCACGCTAACTAGTGTAACGGGCTGAACTTGACAATGAAAAGGATCCATGCATAACCTGATCTTGACATCATAGTTTGTCAGGATCTAATTGTTCTTCCATGTTTAAACCTTATAGAATTCCTTCTTTCATACCCTGAATGCCTTTATGCAAGAAGTTGTTTGTATGGGGACATGAAATAAATAGCAAAACACATAAACTCAAGGAATGGAGAGACGTTAATGTATAATGTGCGGGAAAATTTAAAGGGAAGGCAGATAATAGTGTCAAGGCACTCTTTCAGGAAGAAACCCAAGGGTGTATTTACGATAAACTGATAGCTTATACATAGGTTTTTTTTATTTTTAACTCTTAATTGCCGAGGATTTTTTAAATCATTTAAACATTGGTTAAGAATTATCTAGGCACTAAAATACATTTTATTTAGGCCCTTTTTTTCCATCACTATGTTGATATCAGGAGCAGTGAAAAATCTCTACGTTGGCAATATTTTATTCTATTACTACCATTAATCAATGTTATTATTTTGAGTTAGAGCCATTTATAATCTTAAATAAATAACATAAGAGGCCGAGCATGGTGGCTCATGCCGATAGTCCCAGCACTTTGGGAGGCCAAGGCAGGCGGATCACTTGAGGTCAGGAGTTTGAGACCAGCTTGGCCAACATGGGGAAACCCCATCTCCACTAAAAATACAAAAATTAGCTTGGCATGGTGGCAGGCTCCTGTAACCCCAGCTACTTGGCAGGGAGAATTGCTTGAACCCTGGGGTGGAGGTTGCAGTGAGCTGAGATTGCACCACTGCACTCCAGTCTGGGTGACAGAGTGAAACTCCATCTCAAAAAATTAATAAATAAATGACATAGGAATATATCCTCTAGAATAGTGGATCTCAAATATTTTGTCTGTAAAAAATGTTAGTGATATAAAATACTATGTTTTTTATTGCTTTTCTTCTTTCCTCTCTCTTCCTCCCCACTCCCCACCAAAAGAATGAAATTTTTGTTTAGAATAAATTTGTTAGTGACATTTTATAAAGCATTCGTTTTGGTGCTTTGTAATGGAAGTGAAAATGCTTGGTTGAAAAACAATTTGTTAAAAGAACTTTTATTAGAAATTGAGATTGTAGCCTTTAAGAACCAAATACTAAAATAATCAACTTTAAAGCTTTTAAATACTCGATATGAGTTGGCCTTTGGCAGTTGGGGGGAAAAAGAAAATGCTGTCATATATAATCTTTGAATAGCTGTTTTAAATAAGTGTTCCTTGTCTAACTTTTTTATAGGGTCTTACTGGACAGAGCTCATTCAGACTATGACAATGTGTTTCACCATCTGGATTTGGAAATGCTTTCCTCACCACAACGTTCTCCAGTCAATCAGTTTGCCAATACCTCAGAAACAAATACCTCGGACAAATCTTTCTCTAAAGACCTCAGTCAGATACTAGTCAATATCAAATCATGTAGATGGCGGCATTTTAGGCCTCGGACACCATCCCTACATGACAGTGACAATGATGAACTCTCCTATAGAAAATTATATAGGAGTATAAACCGAACAGGAACAGCACAACCTGGGACCCAGACATGCAGTACCTCTACGCAAAGTAAAAGTAGCAGTGGTTCAGCACACTTTGGTATGTTTACTGTTATGATGTACATTTCTATAGAAATGTCAGATTCAACCTTTGCCATTTGTTTATGTGGTCTGTTCCATTTATTTCTAAAAGTCCTTTTCTTTCAAACAGTTTTTTTTAAAAAAAGACCTTGGTCTAAGTATTTATTTGAATCCTGTTGCTATAGGAGTTTGTATGTATGTGTCTTCATTTAAACATACCCGCATACAAAGATGGTTGATTTCTATTTAATGTGTGACTTTTTTTTTTCTGGATATAGTCCACGAACCACAAGATTCAATCATATTTTTTCACAGTATGAAAAGAAAATGGGCCCTAAATTGTTAACTGTTTTATGCTCAGATATTTCTCTAGTTTTTACTTAGTCTGCTTAAACATAGAGACCAGCAAGTGAATATATACACATAACCTTATATGCTGACACAAGAATTCAGAATAATTTATAAAAGAGAAACTAACTTTTCAGAGAAGAACATTTAAAGGGTTAATATTTTGAAATGTTTTCAGATAATATATTTATTATGGCTTTTATATGAAATGTGTCTAAAATAAATCTGTTTATTTAAAGTATTCCTATAATCTTAGCTGTCTGTTTTAAAGCATAAGTCTGTGTTATTTGAAGCATATGGATTGTAGAAATTCACCATTAAATTATGTTACTACAGATTTTTGTAAAGGTAATTTAAACGTAGATTTTAGGACTATAAAAATATTTATTGTTTGCCTAATTCACTCAGTAGGATTATAGTTAAACTGCCTCATAAGTATGAACATTTGCTCTGATTCTTAAAGACCTCCAGAAAATGTTCCATAAACTGATTTACTTGGTGATTTAAAAAAAAAAAGTACAGTTGACTCCTGAACAACATGAGGGTTAGGGGCACCCCCCCCCCATGCAGTCCAAAATTAGTGTATAACTTTTGACTCCCTAAAAACTTAACGACTAATAGCCTGCTCCTGACGAGAATTACTAATAACATAAACAGTCCATTAGCCTATTACCATAAACAGTTCAAACATACATATTTTGTATATTATATGTATTCTGTACTATATTCTTATAATAAGCTAGAAAAAAGAACATGTTATTAAGAAATTTATAGGGCCAGGCATGGTAGCTCATGCCTATAATCCCAGCACTTTGGGAGCCTAAAGTGGGCAGATTGCTTAAGCCCTGGCGTTCACATGGTGAAACCCCATCTCTACAAAAAATACAAAAATTAGCTGGGTATGGTGGTGAGCACCTTTAGTCTCAGCTACTCAGGAGACTGAGGTAGGAGGATCACTTGAGCCCAGAAGGTCGAGGCTGCAGTGAGCCGAGATCATGCCACTGCATTCCAGCCTTGGCAACAAAGCAAGACCCTGTTTCAAAAAAAGAAAGAAAGAAATTCATAAAGAAGAGAAAATACATTTACTACTCATTAAGTGTAAGTTGATCATCATAAAGGTCTTTATCCTCATCATCTTCACATTGAGGAGGAGGAGGGGTTGGTCTTGTCATCTAAGGGGACACAGAGGCAGAAGATAATTTGTAAGTAAGTAGACTCAGGCAGTTCAAACCCATGTTGTTCAAGGGTCAGCTGTACTTCTGTGAAATGCAAGTCTTTCAGCTCTTGAGAAAAATAATCACAATTCAGAATTCAACTGGACCATAAAGCTATTTTAGGGCCTAACAGCTTTTTTATAATCCCATTAATGTTACTGTCTTTGTTCCAGAAGCCAGTTTCTCTCTACTTTTATAGTCTTAAGAATCAAAATAAAGAACTTTTCAGTAAAGACTTAGGCATACTGTTAGTGTAGAGGTTTTAACAATATAAACTTCTCATAGGTTTCCCTGATAATTAAACTTTTTAAGCTATGTGAAATTCTTTGAGACGTCTCAGAAAATAAGCATGTTCCACCAGTCTCCATCTTCTCCACGCCTTAGATAGAGAAGTTGAGGTATATAGCTATCCTAAAGACTTAAGGATTTTTTTTTTTTTTTTTTTTTTTGAGGCTGGAGTGCAGTGGCAGGATCTTGGGTCGCTGCAGCCTCCGCCTCCCAGGTTCAAGTGATTCTCCTGCCTCAACCTCTTGAGTAGCTGGGATTACAGGTGCCCCCCACCATGCCCAGCTAATTTTTGTATTTTTAATACAGACAGGGTTTCACTGTGTCAGCCAGGCTGGTCCCGAACTCCTGACCTCGTGATCCGCCAGACTCAGCCTCCCAAAGTGCTAGGATTACAAGCATGAGCCACCATGCTTGGCAGATTTAAGGATTTTATAATGTTCTTTTTTTGTGAAAATTGTATTGCTCTACTACTTTAAGTAGGCACATTAATAACAGTTGTAAAGCTTACTTTGTGTTTGCCAAAGAACATTAAAAGAGGAGCACTACCAGAAGTTTAGCTGAAAGGAAATCATTAGTAACCTTGTAATTTTCCTTCTTTATCATTTCTTTCCCTCATTATGCAATATAACTATCTATCTATCTATCTATCTATTTATTTATTTATTTACTTATTTATTGGAGACAGGATCTTGCTGTCACCCAGACTGGAGTCCAGTGGCACAGTCACGGCTCACTGCAGCCTCAACTTCGAAGGCTCAACTGATCCTCCCACCTCAATCTCCTTCCTCCTGGGTAGCTGGGACTGTAGGGACGGGCCACCATGACTGGCTAATTTTTTGTAAGAGACAGGGTCTCTCTATGTTTCCCTGGCTAGTCTTGAACTCCTGGCCTCAAGTGATCCTCCTGCCTTGGCTTCCCAAAGTGCTAGGATAACAGGGGTGAGCCATTGCACCCAGCCTTGATACTACTTTGTTTAAAATTGGTTTATCTATTTTGTTTTCCTTTTGTCTTAATTATTTTCAATTTCTCCTTAAATTTTGCTAGATCTTCTAATACTTAGAGGATAGATACCTACAGACTACCGTAGGGTTACACTGTTCATTTATATTTGTGAATATTCCAGAGACCTAAAGCTTTTCTCTGCGTACTCTATAAAGTCTATTCGAATGCAACTGTATCATAAGTGTACTTGACTTAATGCAACTCCAGGCCCCTGAAGACAAAAAAAGAATATGTAGGCCGGGCACAGTGTCAGCAATTCAAGCGGCAGCCTCGTCAACATAGCAAAACCCTGTCTCTACTAAAAATACAAAAATTAACTGGTTGTGGTGGCGGGCACCTGTAATCCCAGCTACTCGGAGGCTGAGGCAGGGAGAATCACTTGAACCCAGGAGGCCAAAAAAAAGAAAAAAACTGAATCAGCTCGAGTGTTACGCAGATTTTGAAATACAGTTTACTCACGGAATATACTCTCCAGGGTGAGTCTGGGGTAGGGAGGTTGACTGTGTTGCTCCTCTTACAGCATCAGTACCTGCATTGCCACTTTATTCACAGGTTAAGCATCTTAACACACTCATTAGTAATTGTAATTTTAAAGATAATTTTTAATTTTCATACAACATGGCCCCCAAATGCAAACCAGACTACTTCCTTTGGCACTTAACCAAAGAAACTCTGATGTAGTCTGATGCCAGTGGAAAAACTGGCAGTATTGGGCTTATTAAAAGAGAAGAGTCAGACCAGGCACAGGTGGGTCATGCCTAAATCTAGCACTTTGGGAGGTCGAGGCGGGAAGGTCACCTGAAGTTAGGATCAAGACCAGCTTAGCCAACACAGCAAAACCTCGTCTCTACTAAAAATACAAAAATTAGCCGGACATGGTGGTACACACCTGTAATCCCAGTTACTGGGGAGGCTGAGGCAGGAGAATCACTTGAACCTGGGAAACAGAAGTTACAGTGACGCGAGATTGTGCCACTGCACTCCAGCCTGTGCGACAGAGGGAGACTCCATCTCAAAAAAAAAAAAGAGGAATCTCCATCAGGGCACCCTCTAAAGGAATTTTTAAGGCTTAATTTTCATGATACAGGTTGAATATTCCTTAAATGAAATGCTTGGGACAGGAGTGTTTCTGATTTTGGATTTTTTCAGATTTGGTAATATTTACATATACATAATTAGATATATTAGGGATGGGACTCGTGTCAAAACATGAAATTTATTTATTTTTCATGTGTACCTTGACACACATAGCCTAAAGATACTTTTATATTTTTAAAATAATTGTATTCAGGCCGGGCTCAGTGGCTTATGCCTATAATCCTAGTAGTTTGGGAGGCCAAGATGGGCGGGTCGCTTGAGGTCAGGAGTTCAAAACCAGCCTGGCCAAACTGGCAAAACCCCTCTATTAAAAATACAAAAATTAGCTTGGCGTGGTGGTGGGCGCCTGTAAGTCCAGCTACTCAGGAGGCTGAGGCAGGAGAATCGCTTGACCCCAGGAGACAGAGGTTACCGTGAGTCAAGATCACACCACTGTACTCCAACAGAACAAAACTCCATCTCAGAAAAAAAAAAAAAAAAAATGTATGCATGAAACAAAGTATTGACTGCATTTTGACTATGGCCCATCACATGAGGCCAGGTATAGAATTTTCCCCTTGTTGTATCAGGTTGATGCAGAAAAAGTTTTGGATCTTAGAATTTCAGATTTTGGACTTTCATATTAGAGATGCTAAATCTGTTTATGAGTTTGGAAGTTTAACTATTTTGTGAAATATGAGTCAGCTGATAAGCTTTCCTGCTACTTAAGCCAAATATGTGAGTTATAATGCCATTTCTGATTATTCAATCATTGTTATTTATACTTACATTGTAACATAGTGATGCCCTCTGGGCTGATTTTCCCTTTTCTAAATAATTACCTATTTACTCTCTTTCTCTTTTTTTTTTTTTCCTTTTTTTTGAGACACAGTTTCACTCTGTCTCCCAGGCTGGAGTGTCATGGTATGATCTTACTCACTGCAACCTCTGCCTCCTGGCTTCAGGCGATTCTCGTGCGTCAGCCTCCCAAGTAGCTGGGATTATAAGCGCACACCACCATGCCCAGCTAATTTCTATATTACTAGTAGAGACAGGGTTTCACCATTTGGCCAGGCTGATCTTGAACTCC